AATTAACTTCTTTACAGATTATTAATTAATTAATGGCAATCTTATTTTAATTTAAGACGATTAATTTATTAAAAATATTTTACAGCTCTTACGTTATAATTTTCACATAAAAATAGGTGATAACAAGGACAAAAAATAAGCTATCATTAAATTATGTCTTTATAAAATTTGTTCTGTATTCCAAGAAAAACTTTCAATTTATTGTTATTTATTTGTGGATTTAATAAAAATTCTAATTATTGTACAAACTTTACAGTTTTATCAAAAAAAACAATATTTACAATAATTGAATTATTTACAGGAGCAAAATTAAATAAAAATTTCAATAATCAGATACAAAATACTTCCCACTATTGAGAAGTACCGCTAAAATCTCGAAATCGTCCTTTTGTCATTGAGGTATTTGTTTCCAGTAGTTATATTAAGAATCCACAAAAGATAATAAACTTCACATACTTATTGTGAGTAATACAAAGTTTACTTTAAAATGCTAAAATAGGGTTTCTGAAAAACGGTATTACTATGACACAAAAAATGTCAAACAGTTGACACCACTAACAAATTGATGCATGGTAATTTTAGCAAAGGAAGTTGGCACTTCTGGTTTTTTATTTAATTTAAAAACAATGTCGACAAAAAAATTGTATAAGAAAATTTAGAAACGAAAACGAAGGAAAGGTGAATAAAAAAATTGGATTTTCTTTTTTGCTTATTTAGCCCTGAGTTTTTTTAATTTTATTACTATTGTTTATTTACTAATTTTTCTGTGTTCTTCATTGTTTTTTCTTATTTTAAAGTGTTTAACGATGTTTTATTTCCAACAAACTAGAAAATCTATAGAGAATAAGAAAAATAGACGAGTAAGTTGATATGTTAAATTTACAAAAATCGCTTTTTTTAAATTTTATATTTTTTTATTAAAATTTTAAAAATTCAAAAATAATGTTTATTATATTGTTTCCCAGATTTGTTTCTACTTTTGTTTAAATATTTACTTTTTCCTTGGTTTTGTAGAACTTTTTGGGTTTTATCTGATTTTACTTTTTTATTTTTTTCAGTTTTCTAATTCTGTAAATTTTTGTTTCTTCTTTAAGGTTTATTTCTTTGAATTTAGCTTTTCAAAAATTTGTGTTTTTTTTCGAATTCTTCTACTATTTTTGCTCTCTTACTTAATTTATTCTTCATTAGTTTTATTTTCCAACTTTTACGACACCTTATTTAGACCAATATTAATAAGAAGTAGGATTTTTTGTTTTCTAAAAATTTTGAACTTTTTTGCTTATTTAGACTTTACAACTTTTGCTCTATTGCTCATTATTTCCCAGGTTTGTTTCTACTTTTGTTTAAATATTTACTTTTTCTTTGTTTTTGTAGAACTTTTTGGGTTTTGTGATTTTACTTTTTTATTTTTTTCAGTTTTCCAATTCTGTAAATTTTTGTTTCTTCTTTAAGTTTATTTCTTTGAATTTAGCTTCTCAAAAATTTTTGTTTTTTTCCAATTTATCTACTATTTATTCTTCATTTGTTTTATTTTCCTACTTTTACGTCACCTTATTTAATATAATAACAATATTGATAAGAAGTAGGATTTTTTGTTTTCTAAGAATTTTGAACTTTTTTGGTTATTTTGACTTTACAACTTTTGCTCATTTGTTAATTTTTTACTCTTTATTGGTATTTCGTATATTAAATTTTCAAAAAATGGCTAAAAATTTTTGCAAAAAATTGATTTAATTTCAAAACCATGTCAATAAAAAATTATCTAAGAATGTTCAGAGACGAAAACACAAAAACGAGAACAAATTTTGGTAAAGCTAACAGTATTTGGAAATTTGAAGGCAAAAAATGTGAAGCAGAAGTCACAAAAGACCACCATTAAAATGTAATGCAAAATAACTATGAATAAAAAAGAACGCAATTAAGTAAGTGTCTGTTTGCACAATTTTTGAGGAAAGAGTTGAAAAAAATAACAATTTTGAAACTAAAATTAAAGAAGAATTTGGAGCATGCATCAACTTCGAGCTCACATCAAAAAATTACACAAAATTTTGAAAAACTTTCGAGACTTGACATTTCGAAAATAGAACTTTTCAAACTTTGCGACATTTAAAAGTTCTTAAATTATAAAAAATACGCAAAACGCGCAAAATAGAAAAAATTGTTTCAAAGTCATTTGTGGGAACTCGTCCTTTAATATACTATTTTAGCCCTAAATTAGGTTTTTAGATATTAGGTATAGTGATGTCTGTCCTCAGGTATTCGATTATAGGACATTCAAAGAGAAAACAAGCACACAAAATTCATGAAAGTCAAAAAACATAATTTGTAACACAGTTTTTAGGAACAAAAACAAAAAGCAACTGCTACCAATTTTTTCTCCAAAATTTTATTTAAAAAAAAAATAACTTACCATATGAGCAAACTCCTTCGGGTTCTGGTACTACGTCTGAAAAACAAACTATGACTCCTAATTCTGTTCGATTTTTCATCTGTATGAAGTCCATGCAAAAATTGTCAAAATTAACAATAACTGGATTCTCATCGGCATACGGCATATATAAAGATCCATTTCTTTGTAAGAAATATGTATCTTCTTTATAAATCGCTGGTGACAATCGCAACCTGCTGCTACTATCTTTACAATCTCGGTTATGTATGACACTGAAAGACACATTTTCCTTTACTTCTTCTGTGCCTTCAAAAACGGTTACGTTGAAGTTGTTTTCATCTGATTTGATGCATTTTTTCTTGCTCAAAATATGATTTTCCGGACAACATTTTTTTATGCAATTGCCACGCTCACAAACACTATAATCATCATTTGTATCATGGTTGAGTATTGGATCAACACTAATCACAAACAACGCTTTTAAAAACACAAGTGTAAGCACCGTTTGTAAGTTACACATGATGTGTGTTAACTGAATTCGTTCATCTATTAATATTGCACCTAAACAGTGATTTTGTGGGCAAGCGGATGTAATTAATCGTAGTAAGTTTCCTTTTGTTTAAAAAATGATACTGTGACATAATTATTTATTCAACAAATTTACTATATCACAATAGCCGATGTTTATGAATATTTATGCGATATATATCGGTCTCAGATTTTCGTGTAAATTACTTATTAAATTTTTTTTTTTAGATTGAACACAACGAAAAATCGAAAAGTTACGTAAATAAATATAAAAAAATAAAATATTTTTTAACAAGTCTCGGCAGTGGAATGTCGTTGGTAGATTTGAAATCTGTTGATAGATAAACAAAATTCAACATTTAAAACTCTCCTGTTTTCTAGAAATTTCACTTTTATTTAATTGTTATCTCCCTCGCACTCTGATTTTGTTTTGTTAACATTCTTTGTGGTTTTCGTTTCACTTATCAGTTAGATTTAATACAGGTTCACAAAAAATAACATTTGATAAACACTTAAAAATTGTTAAAGCCCTAAGGCCTGAAATATTACATTTTTTAATTTTTCTATTTTATTACAATTTATTTTTCTTATTTTTAAAAGAATGAAAAAAAAATGGAAAAGGAATATAATGTAATAAAAAGTGAGCTTCTGGTGGTATTTACTGCTGTTTTTAGTTTCAATTGTTAATTTTTAAACGATTCAGAATTGAAAATTGGCAATTGAAGCATCGATGCGAACTGTTTGAAGAAGCAAGTAAAATTTTAAAGGTCAAATCAGTAAAGCCAAGAATGATAAAAAAACGGTGAGTCGATTAAAAATTGATTAATATATTTTATACATTAAATTGTTATTAGCTGAAGAAGACGCTTTTTTAAATATTTATTAAGAAACGAAAAACTTTTTGAAAACTCTTTTTGAAAATTTTAAGACAAAGAGTATCAAAATTTTGAAATGTATCAATCAGTGGCAACGTCACTTCCAGGAACCCAAACAGGAATCGATTTCGTCCGAGGAACCAGACAATACCTACTCCAAAAAACTTTTTTCTCGAAGTAATGAATCTTAGAAATAAGAATATATATAATAGTTGTGTTTTTAGGTCGAATATGAAAATTTATAAGTATGTACCTAATATTGACAATAAAAAACAATTGACGATTTTTTAGCAAAAAACAAAAATCATGTTTTGCTTAATGTTTTGTGCCTGAAGACGAATATTTTACCATAAGCAATATATTTTTTTTTTAATTTCAACTCAAAACTTTTGAGACTTAAATTTTTAACAAAGACCAAAAAGAGATTTCGCTGGTGACTTTTTTTTGCTTAATTTTTTGTGACTACAAACGACTTTTTGTTCCATTTTTTGATGTTATAAGCAATATTTTTGTTTCAACTCAATTTCCAGAAACCAAAAACCGTTTTTTACTCATTTTTTGCGCCTGAAAACAATTTTTTGCAAAATTTTTTGTTTCATTTGTATATTACCATATTATTTTTTTTATTTCAACTCAAACTCCTAATACCAATATTTTATGTTTTCTGCTGAATTTTTTGTGCCTGAAGGCGATTTTTGTGACTACGAGTAATTTTTTGTTCCATTTTATGTTATACCATAAGTAAATTTTAAATTTTTTTAGAATTCTAACCCAAACTCCTGATACAATTTAATAAATTTCTAAAACCATTTGTTGCACTTGAAGGCGATTTTTTTGCTTTTTTGTGACTACAAGCGATTTTTGGTTGCATTTTTTTATTACCATAAGCACTCTTTAAAAATTTTTGGAAAATTCGAATTCAAACTCCTCTGATCTTATTTTTTTGCACCTGAGTCGATTTTTTGCTTAATTTTTTGTGACCACGATCGATTTTTCTTTCATTTTTTACCATAAGGAATCTTTTCAACTCGCCGCTACATGCCTCGTATTGGGATTTCAGACTCTTGCTTGAAGGGTGTCTTTTGTAACTCGTATTTTAATAACTATTCTCCATTTTTTAACAATTACAATATAATTTTTACGTTTATTATAGATGACCACTGAAAGAATTATGTTGGGATACTTGTTTCACATTGAATTAAAACAAGAAGTATTGAATATGTTTAATTAATTAACTGGTTGATTGATTGAGGTTGTTTCAGACGACCCAGTGTCTAGTATAAAATTTTCTTGGCAAAAATTTTTGAACAAAAAAGAAACAAAACAGGAAAGAAAATCTTATACAAAAAAGTGGGTAGTTTAAAATAGCCTTCTCACGACTACATTTCGGAATGAAAGGATCTAATAATTTTACATAATTTAATGCTCACAACAGCAATTACAGATGTTATATTTAGATATTTCTATTTTTGAACACTTTTATTCCTAGTAAATTACATTATATGTTGTACTTTTGCGGAGATAAGCTGCATCATAAAAATTACATGTTGAGGCCGTTTATTAACATTTGCATTGTATTGTAAAAATCATTATAAATAAATAGTTTGTTGTAGTTTTACATTCAACAGTAACATTTTGTAAATACGTATAAATTTCTTTACTTAAAATAAATTTTCCTCGTTTCAGTACGTATATATAAAAAGTCCACTGCAGTGGAAACATTTTTTTTCCAACAAATACATATAAAAGTTAAAAATTTCATTGTATAAGGCATGCCATCAAGGCAGTTGTTAATGGTAATGAAGAACAAGTAAAACGTTCAACTGCAGTCATTTTTACAATTTGTGTAATCTTAATATTACGGTAACATCCTATAACGTTCTTTTATCACTTTATGTATGAAATTTTTACAACCTTGATAATATCAACCTTTATATCAATTACCAACAGCAAAATTTTGAACCAAAAATGACACATATAAATAACTTAAAGTTGCAATAATTGTAGCACATTCAAAGGATAAGCGCCACTACGTTTCTTCTATAAATCCCTGTGAAAACGTCCTTTCCTATTCCTGTTATTTGTGAGCATACTACATTTTTTCTACTATTTTTGCTTAATAGTACGACTAAAGTAACTTCAACCAAAAAATAGACTATATAAACATAAAAACAATCAACAATAAGTCTACAAATATAACAGAGGTCATCAGCTGCCATTGTTGGGGCAGTATTTCTTGGTCAGGACTTATTTAGTAACATAAAAAATGATTGTATTAGAATTAATACAATTCTTGCTCAATTCTAATATAGAATATAGCTTAAACAATGATTTAAGATGATTTAAAATAATAGAATAATGAAAACTTTATCGTATTTACATTGATTATTTATTTAATATCACAAAAAAGTGTGCTGTAATGATATTACTGCCCCGACTAAATATTTCCTGACCAAAGTGAACATTTTATGTACTTAATTTTTCTTCTACTAGCAATGAACTTAAAACTACATGATGACTACATAATGTGCATGTTTATTTACAAATGTTGGATCGCCTTTCGAAGGAACACTTTTCACTGAACAGTTTTCGAGTTGGTTACAAACTGTAACATTACACATCTTCATATTTCGCCAATTTATTTTGTAACATCAAATTTTCTTTTTTCAGTCGTTCAAGTTCTTGACGGAGACCAACATTCTGAAAAACAAGAAAAATACACATTACAAAAAATGGAATAAATAAAAACAAAAAAATTGTGTTATATCTTAAAACGTGATAGCTTGAACGCTCTCAACCCGTGTAAAAATTAATTAACCATCTCTCTCGCCCAAAATAGCAATTGTTTTTGGAGCAATTTTGTTAGACACTATAGCAAAAAAAATCAAACTTTAGACAGTAAACGATGATGAAAAATGAAAATTCAATCCAACCTTTACTGCACCAGACGGGTTATTTTCGTTAATTAATATTATTTAGGCTAAAAATCTATAAAAATGTAAATTAAAAAAAATAACCAAGAGTGCGTTGGTTTTCAATCATTCAATCTGACAGTTGGTGACATTTCGCGTCAATGTGGTTCACACTCTTCAAAAAAATCAAACGAAAACATTAGGAAAACGGAAGTACACTGACTTGAGATAGTAAAGTAGTGATTTGTGTAGTGTGAAGACCTTAAGAGCTCAATATAAAAGAAATTTGGCGAAGAAATGTGTAATTTTAGGTTAAGACATGAATTTATTATTTCCATCGACGTAACAAAAACTAGATGTACCACTAAACTAACAAAAAATAGATTTCCAGTTTATTAGCAGAAAAATTGTGAAAATTCAATAATTCAAAAATTGATGTCATACCCATTAAGCTAACAAAAAAAATAGATCGAATAGGTAGGTAGCGATTTGTGAAATGTTGTTTAAGACTTTAAGAGCCTCATATAAAAAAAATATAAATTTTGAGAAAATCTGATAATGTGATAGTGTTTTTACCTCTTTTTCGAGATATCCTGCCCTGAGAGCGATTTGATTTTCTTTCATTCGGCGGGCGTCTCGAGATCTCTTTGCTGCTAAATTATTCTTCCTACGTCGAGCCCAATACTTGTCATCTTTAAGGTCATCTGGTACGAATTGTTTACGGGATTTTTTGATGATGGGTTGTGGTTTCAGCTCCTCATCTGAAAATGCTCTTGTCCGTGGGTCGAAGTCGCGACAACTCGAAGCCATTGACAACGCTTCAGAAAAAACTGCATTTTAGACATTAGTATTGTGCAAAACACACAATAATTTTACTCTCTCTCACATTGCCTTACTAAATTTCTCAATCACTACTACGAATCTAGTAAGGACAAAAAAGAGGCAAATTTGACTCGTTTTTCTGAAGTTTAATAAGGCTTTTCGGTGCAAATTGAACTCTGCAATAACTATGCAAACATCTTACTATTGCCAACATAATTATCTAAAACAGAGTTAAATTTGCACTAGGTACAACGTCATAATTTAAAATAATCTTAAGTTACCTTAAATCATGATGAATATTTTATATAAATGCATTAATATTACTGTTAAGAGTACAGTTGCTATCAAAATTAATGTCGTATGACGTAAATACGACACTACTTTTGTCGATAACTATGCACAAATGGTACTGTTAAGTAGGAAAAACGTTAATGTTACTGCTAGCCTCGGCTAGCCAAAATAGTTTATTTTACCATGGTTTACGATTTTGTCAAAAATTACTAAAATTTTTAAGAAAATACTGAAAAAATGTAATCTGTTTGTTTCCAGTTGCAAGAATTATAACTCAAAATATCATAGTTTGGTCGATGACTGTCCTACTATTTATTTAAAATTTCTGGCGAGGTAGGAAAAAAGTTGATATAACTGCTAGTTCGGCTTCGCCTCGTCATATTCTCTCATTTATTTATTTTTCAATCAAAAGTTATACTCAAAAACAGTTTTTTTGTTGTTTTAGTCAAAAATTATTAAAAATTGTTTAGTAAAGTTACAATTTAAAATGAAAAGAGGTTTATTTAATCAAAAAACATCAATTTTTCTCGATTTTTATCATTTTAATAAAAATATAATTGTTCTATGGTTATTCTATTTTATTTGTTTTTTATCTTTGTTTTAGTCAAAAATTATTAAAAATTGGTTAGTGAACAATTAGTTTAGTATAGGGAATGTTGGTAAAGATCGTTTTAGAATTAAATTTAGCTCCATTTAGTGAAGAAAAAATTTTGACCTTTCATTTTTTCAATTAAGAAAAAAAAATGATCTAACCTTTCTCTTTCATATACCCTAATATGATTTCAAAATAAAAAATGACAGTTATCGGTTTTTTGAAGAGGAAGGTGCAAATCCAAAAAAAGTCTAAATATTTCGAAAATGTCAATAAAAAAGACAAATTTTCATTGCCAGAACTAATGTAGGGTTTAGCTGGAACACCCTGTAGATTGTCTTTCCTGAAGTGTCTAAGACTAAAATCCACTACTAATAGTATATTAAAAAAACAAGTTTTATAAGACCAGTCTTGAAACACGAATTCAAGTGTAAAAAACGAGTGGCGAACCTACGAGTTATTTTAAAGAAAGAGTGCTTCAAGGTCTTATGAAACAAGTTTTTTTTTACTTTTCCGTAATTTACCCTCTTTATGCCTTTTTTAAACAAAAATTTTTACTTTAATCGATTCAGAGATTGTTTTAAAAGTCAAAATTTTGACTGTTAAGACATCGTAAATGATGCTTTAATATGTCTATTAGAGAACAAAATAGAGGCAAATTACAAAAATAATTTTAATTTCTTTAATTTTTAAAAATTCTTTGAAATTTTCAAAGTGGATTTTTTCCCTAAACTTACTTGAATCGGCGGGTGATGAGGGGTTAATGGTATCTGGACTCATACAGTCACTAGGACTTGGAGATCTTTCCCTTTTGGGCACAGGATGCGAACTCGCCAAGGGCCCAAGTGAGCCATGTGACCCCAAACCATCCATTGATACACCATTTTCAGATAAGAATTCGTCCAAATCCACGTACTAAAAACCAAAAAACGTTAAAAAAACATCTATCATGATATAAATAATTACTTTAAGATCGGTTTCATATGTTTTGTCCCATAAATTAGGTCCGAGGAATGCTGTTTGGGCTTCAACATTATTCCAAAGTTCTCCATCGTCTTTTTTGTCATCACCTAATATGCTCCCTGCCAAATCTTTGATCGTAGAGTGGCCGTGACCGTGAGGATGAGTTGGTTTGCTATTTCCTGGAAGCAAAAAGACACGTCAAGAATAAGCTAAACAAATTCAAAGATTAAACTAAGCAAATTGTTTGAAGTTAATCAGTAACTGAAGAACAAACTTGACTTTAAACAAGTACGTTTGAAATATACATCTACATTTTTCTCGCCCTTCAAAAAGTTAGATAAACACTAAAACTACTTCCGAGATGTTCAACAAAGTTAAAGAAGAGAAATACTGCGGATAGAATAGGGGTTTCTGGTTTTTAAAGTCATTATCTACTTGTTCAAATACATATCACAAAAATCAGAAGTAGTTTTCAACGAAAACTAAGATGCGTGGGTTGAAAATACGATACAATGAATCGGAAAATGGTAAATAAGTCGTATCTGAAACTCAAATAAAAAAATCTTCAAAAATAGTTAATTTCATAGTTAGTAAATAAATAACAAGTAAATTTACATTACCAATAAAACTAACGGAAATCAGTAATTAACTTTTCATTTGATTTGAATCAAATAGAGAAATTAATAGTGAAATCGTTCTTATGGACCTAGGTATTGAGGCGGAGCTATAGAGAACAAGTTTGAAACCATTAATAGTTCTTCTAAATAAGCCTATTTGCATCTAAGACATTAAAACTGTTGTATTTTAATTTTCTTCAAGTTATTAACTTTATTGTTCGTATTTTGTAATGAAAACATCCTGGGTACAAGTTTAGTTAATATGCATTAATATTCTTGTAACTTACTCTAAAAAAAAATCTAATATGTAGAATTTTTCAATAGAAAATAATAAAACTGTCCCACACTTTATTCTGAATTTTGAACGAAATAAAAAGCAAAAATGTTTCGATTTTAAATTACTACTCCCATAATGACTACATAGGAGAGTAGCAACTCAATTATTACCAACATCATAGAAAAATCCACTAGAAATACATAATAGTATATTACAATCGAGTTGGTAAATGTCATTTCGCGAGGCTTCTGGATATTGTAAATTTGAAAGAAGTTCGAGCGGTAATGTCATTACCATAGGGGTTTATATACTATTTTATTCACGCTCAATTTTTTTAATCAAATCAATAAATTTTTGACATTTGAAGTTTCTCAATACATAAGTGTCAAAGACAAATTCGGTTTATCTAATCAAACAGTTTTAAAGCTATAATAAGAACCGTAAAAAACTTGGATGGTTACTTTTAAAATTGCAAACAAAAATGTTGTACTAACTTTTTTTAAGTAGATGTAATTCTTTAAAAATGCAATTCTAATTAGGAAAACTAATTCTATGTTTTATTAGTCTGAGACGAAAAACTTGTTTCTAGAATATTAGAAAATAAATTAAAAAAACGTACATAAAATTCTTTTCGATGAAGAGATTTTGTGAAGAGATTAAGATGGCAACAGCACATCAAAAATTTGTTGGTTTTTTTAGTAACAAACGTTTCAAATCTTACAACACAATGTGGTTAAAAATGTACTGCAACGTAGCCAATTTTTAAATATTCATATTTTCAAAACCACGCAGAAACATTATAAAAGCAAATCTGAGCTTCTATTAATGTTTTCTGTAACCATATAAAAGATTGTCCAACTCATTTGAATCACGGTGTATAAGAGTTTATATCGAGAGATTAAGATCCAAAAACGTATGTCTGTGAAAGGTCAAATAAAATGACAAGTCGAAAGCTAAAATGGCATGATCAAAAAGATAATGATTTTAATAACTAAATTTATGATTTACCTTCAAAAAAGAACGGTCCTATTTCCTATTATTAGTCGTTTTACCTTTCAAATTGTCAATAATAATAAACAAATATGTCCTAATTTTTAATAAAACATTTCAAAACAAAAAGTACAAATAAACAAAATAGACTAATAATAGAAATGAAAAAGCCCAAAACCTTTTGTAATTAAAAAAAAATTTCAAAAACTCAAAAGATTTCTATTGGGGATTTCAGTTGGGGAGAAATTATTTTGGTCGTCAAAGTCACTTGAGTGACATAAAGTTGTAAGGTTAATCTTATTTTTTACTACTGTCAAACATTGCCCCTGACTGTGACTGTCAGTCTCATCCACGGACAAAAAAAAGTCAATAATTTGAAATTGTCATCAATGTTGTTGACTTAACGTTAAGGCTTGGTTCACATTTTTTTTTGAAGTGACAGAAAGTAAATGATATCCAGGATATTTTGTCCCCAATGGACACAACAATCATTATTTCATATTAATAATGAGATTAATTGAAACTTTTCGCTCCAATAGTATATAGTGTGTCCCCGGATAGGTGAAACGACTCTTATAAAAGATAAAAAAGTCTCGATTTAAATTTTTATTTTTTGAGGTTCAGCCCTGCTTGGTTAAAGACTAATTTCTAACATAATGTCAGTTTGAAAAAATCAAGTATGCCTTAGAAATATAAAAAAACTTTGTACAGTTAAGTGTCTTTTATGTGTCAAAAATGACAAAATTATTAAGAAATCGATTATGGTTATAAAGACAATTTTAAATAAAAATCATTGTCAGAACTCCCAATATTTTCTTTTCTAACATGGGGTTTAGCCGGAACAGCCTGTATATTATTTTTGCACAACGAAATTGGCTATAATTCTTTAATAAAATTTAAAAATTAGCATAAAGCTGGCATTCTTGAAATCATAATAAAAAATATTTGTTGACAACGAGAGGATTTTGACTTTTGTCACAGTTTTGACATAAGCATAGACACAACAAAATTGGATTCTACTCCCCCACGTGCAAAAACAGTCTTTACATGTTTTGAATGCCATAATAATTCTGACATTTCTATTTAAATACTCTAAAAATGACTCACCTTTCTTCATGTAAATAGTATAAAAATCTTTGTTATAGGTGAATTCGAATTTATCTTTACTATCACATTCGCTTTAAGCGCTCATCAGTTAAGTGAGTCAATAGCACGAAAATAGTACTAATTGAACCACATCAAAAACTGACACGTAATAGTATTATAATTAATAATTAATAAACAACATATTATGTTAATCTGAATCATGTTTTGACTGCAACCAACTATCTACACTGAACTGTATGTATTTACCACTTTGGAGTTAAAAAATTATCGAGACTATCAAGAAGCAGCCGAAAGCATCATCATAGACAAAGACTCTTGATTAAAATTCCGCAGAAATCGATTTCGTGAAGTATACAAGGAAGTAAATGTATTGGTAGTCCTGCCTCCCACGATATGAGTAAGGTCAAGGAGGTTTTGTGAGGGCGGCACACCTGAACTAGCTAAAACGTACAGAGACCTAACTCGTATGCAATAAATTTGATTTATCGCTCTATAACACCATGCCAAGAGGTTTTATTGTGTATTTTATATTCTTGCTAGTTTAACTATCATACCTTTCAATGATGATGATGGTGGATCCGTTTTTGGGGATAATCAATGAATCCACCATCTAGGGACAAAACCAAAAAGCAAACAAAACTTCTAGCTATGAAGGTAAGTTGTTACCAATTTTTTCACCAAATTTTTGAGTTGGTGATTTCTGATTTAAAAAAAAAACTACACGTTAGACAAATTGCTTGAAAGTAAGAATATTGATCTTGATATTTGAAATAATTCAAATAAAAACGCGTTGGTGATTTAGCCGATGAGTAACTGCCGTTGATTACTAAGTTATAAAGTACGAATGTCAAAAATCATTGTTCTAACGTCAATCATGTGGAGTGGTTCAGGGACGAAGAATGATTTGAGCCGTGGGCACAACAGGAGGAGATTCGTGTACCGCGTTTTTGCATTCGAATGTAATTAATACTCACTTATTGACTATAAAGCATGAAAAATAATAGTCATTGTTGATATGGGTAAAGCCCACACAAAGCAAATAAAAAAATGCCATTGGGTAGTGTTCAAGGAAGAGGTTGGTTTTGTGTGCAAAAATATTTTTTAGGTAAGGAGATAATTAACGTGACAAAAACTAAAAATAGTATAAAAGTGGGACAAGACAATTTTTGGTTGAAAATGTCAACGTTCAATATTTAATTAAATAAGACGTGACCATCTGTATACTTTTTCTCTTTCCTTTGAAAGTGGAGATATTTTAAAATACGTCAGTTTAAATTATCTTTTTGATTTCATTACAACCATTTACAATACTGAACAATTTCAAAAAGTTTCAAATATTAAAAAAATAGTGGGTCTTCTATAAAAACTCTACAACAAAATCTAGCAAAACAAAAATAAATGAAAAACATTTAGCACTTAGCATTCAAAAAAAAATGCAATATAAACAAAGTTTGAAACTTTTGAGGACTTTATCCCAAAGTTTACATTGCTAATAGTCGGTGATATTAGAAGTAATGAAATTCATTAGTATCTTCTACAAAAAATGGATCCAAACTTTTTACCGTTTTCGTTTTTTTTATATGAGAACACTTTTTCTTGTTATTGCTAATTTTGGCTCAATTTTTTAAAAACAGTGTAATATATTTTAGAGAGCTAACCTCAGAAGTCATATTTGTTTAGAACTTGAATTGGTGAAGTTAAGGCTGCGCCCCAAATTTAAAATATCGACGAACAAAACCGTCTATATCTCAAAAACTATAAACATTCGGATAAGACAAGTTGAGTTATTTTGACTTCTTTTGAGCTCTACTTATCACCTGTTAAAATATTTGTACATATTTTAGTACCACCCAGTATAAGTTTATTACTGATTCGTCCATTTACTTGTTAAAAAAGAAATTAAAAAATGCAAAGAAACAAATGTAGTAAAAAATAAGGCACATCTAAATAAATAGAAAAAGTTTAAAAAAATAAATCATTAGAAAATAAAAAAGCCCACTAAATCTGGTGATGTAATAAAAGTTGGAAAATAAGAGCAACGAAAAATAAATTAAGTAAAAGAACAACAAATGCTAAAAAATTGAGAAAAAAATAAACAAAATTGAGAAGCTGAATTCAAATAAACAAATCTTGAATAAGCAACAAAAAATAACAAAATTAGAAAACTAAAGTGAGGTAAAAATCAGAA